CTATGGTTCAGGACAGATGCTCGTTCTACAGTCTTTCCATGTTTTTTTCTTGAGAGTGCCAGAAGTGTCTTGAAGCCTGAAGTCAAAAAAGTGGTAACCCCACAGCACGCTGCTTTGCTGTGTTTTTGTCTTTGTTGTCTAACAAATGCACACTTGAGCGAATTATGTTGATTTCATAACAACTTCCAAACCAAATTTTTGTCTTTGCTGCTTCCCCAGAGTCTTGTTTTACTCATGGGGACCTTTCTATTGTATTTCAATGTGTTGCTTGGCCCTACCCCAATAGCCCTCATGTCCGCATAGAGTGCAGGGTTGATTTAGCAGATATATATATTATATATATATATGTGCATAGCATAGTTATATTACATACATGCTGCTTTGTTATAGCGCAAGTAGCCTTGGCATGCCGTCGCAGGAGCGAGAAGGACTGCATGCTGAAGCGAAGAAGCTGCACGCAGAGGTGGATGAACTTCGATTAGCACGCCTGGACAACGAGAATCGCCTGGTTGAGACGACTTCGATGGCCGAGGATACTGTTTCTTTGTTGAGTTCTTTGTTCGTTGGCCAACTCGCAGATCGTCACTGAAGACCTGTTGCATGTCCTGAATCGTTGTGGAAATTTGCTGTATCATACAGACATACAGAGCGCAGAGCAAAATCTTCCATTAGTTTGTGACCGCTGCTGTAAGGCAGCCCAATTGAGACTTGCGACCTGAAAAGTGCATTGTTTTGTTTGGTTTGGAAAGGTGTGCGATATGGTGGTATGTGGGCCACAAGAGGCGGTGGTACCAAAAACATGCAAAAACCATGTTCCCGCCCAAACCATCCGAAACTTGATCAAACTTTGCCCTATACTGTACTGGAACAACTGGCCCACTGAGTGGGTTCGACCGCGGGAGGCCCAAGCGATGAGACAGAATGCGCTGGTTACATGTTGAGAGGCAGTATGTAATGTAGACATGACCATGCTCTGTAAGCAAGCCTTGAGCTGAGGTATTGGGGTCTAGCAGTCGGCAGTCTTCGAGTTTTGTTCTTGTGCGTTCTCGCAGTCACGCAAAGACACATCTGGGAACAAACCTATCAGTTGCGCAACGCAAGAACATTCAAGAGTAACATTGCAAGAACCGACGCAAAGGCGTGTAGAACTTGGCAAGAACACAAAAAAAACCGATCCTCACTGCCACATCACGTTCACCACCATGCGATTGCTACCACAGTTTTGCGGCGGCTGTTGTTTGTTGTTTGTTGTCAAGATTGTCGCTGTTCTGTCACTGCTGTTGCCATCACCGCTGTGGGTGATGCAGTTGGTCAGCATTTGGTGTAGTTGGTTTGTCTCAAGAATACATACACACGGGCGATGCAGTCGGGCAGCATTCCCGCAATGATGTTCAAACATACACATTCATTTGTTGGGAAAACAGAAAACGCTATCAAGCCTTTGAAAACTATCAAAGAACTTCGTGGACACAAATTGTTCCATGGATTGAATATGCATTTAGTCCGATGGCTAAATTTCATTTAGTCAATCCGGGGGGCTAAATGGTCATTTAGTCTCTGGACTATATAAACTCCATTTAGTCCAGAGCCTAGGACAAAATTACCAGTCCGACTAAAGACTAAATCGCAAAAAAGAGTACACTTAGTCAAGTACTAAATTTAAACTCAAGTGATCTTAAGGGTTGCGCGTACCAAGCAGGACGTTGCTGCGCCGGCAACAGGTTTTCCACTTGTGATGTGCCTCCTGCCCTTGTTAAGAATAGAAGCATCCTTTCCACACACAATGAAATTATTCTATGCGCAGCAACGCCACACACATATATGCATGTACTTAGTAGGGTGTTTCTGCACCGGCAAGAAACTTATATACACATATTATATATAAATATGTATACACTTGTGGTGTGCCTTTTGGCTCCATTGCAATGCCTTTAGCCTTCGCCGCGCAAGACAAGTTTTGTGTTCAGCAAGGCGACAGGCAGTTGCACATACCTAGCAGGATGTTTCCGTGCTTTTGCACTTGTGGTGTGATGTTTGTTCCTGTTACTGCTACATTTAATTCTTTCTACGCACTTAGTAAGACCAATAGTGCGGCAGGTGTTTGTACGTACCTAGCAACATGCCTTTGCGCTCGGAAGAACTTTTTTGTAGTTCTGATTGATGTGCTTTCTTCTTGCCTGCTCCCCAGCTCCTGCACTTCTGGAGTCCTGGACCTCAGTTCCTGCTCCCGTTTTTGTTCCGCAATTCCTCCTCCCAGCTCCCTTTACATTCACATGGGTTGGGGTTGCATTGGGGCTTTAGCGACGCATAGTTGGAGTGTTTGAACAGTTCCAAGTTGCCCAGGCGAACACGTCGATATAATTGCGGCATGGCTGGAAGTTGGGAACAGGCAATCAGCAAATCTTCGCTGAGTTTGTTTTGCGTAAGAGTCAGTAGTATTCAAAGCTTGGGGCGCCCCTAGGTTCATCTAAGCCTGAGCCCCACTTCTCCGAAGGGCGTGGCCACAGGTTCAGTTTATGACTGGTGTTCCTTTAGTTGGTTTGTCGGGTTCCCCTGTCTTGTCACGAAAGCTAGCGAAGCTAGCTGGAGTTACTCTTGCGATAGCAAGGTTTCTTTCGACCGGGTGCAAATCCTAACCCCTGATTATTCAGGTCGAAG